TGCCCAGTGTGGAGCCAATTGGGGGCTCAGTCTGAAGACCCTGAGATCATAACTGAGCTGAAGTCAAGAGTCAGATGACACTTAACCAGCTGAACCACCCAGGCATCCCAGGCATTTTGTTTTTTTAAATTATGGTTTATGATCTTATGTGATTCTGCATTTGAATCTGAATTTAGGAGTCTTTTTTTGGTAATGGTGCGATAATATGTTTTTAGGAAGTAGTTCCTAATCTGGTGAAAAGGCCAACGCATTTAGGAATATAGTTCAGTTTAAACTGTCCTAGTGGAAAGGATTTTATGTTTTTTGGGGGATATGCTTTCTGTGAATTATTTAGCCAACTTCTGTACAAGTTAATCTCATTCATAGGAAATCAATAAGTCTAGGTCTCATGTATGTGCTAAATAGGGGATTTTCTTGCAGGGCAAACATTTCAGGATGGTACAGATAAGCTAAATTGGGAATTACTTTGAACATTGTCTGTGTGCCATTGACTTCTTCTTTTATGGCTTTAAAAAATTGATAGGTATATTTAAAATAAATTTCATCTTGTTTTTAGAACTTGCTTTCACTTTTGGGGGAAAGTGGAAGTTTAAAATACAAGTAAACACAGACAAGAAAATAGGAAAAACAGTCTCTAAATTTGATTGTGTGGGGTCTAGAGTTTGCAGGTCTATGTATAGGTGCTTTTTTTATCAACTTAATTCCTTTATTTTTACCATCTATGTAGGCAGCTATTCTGGCAATTTTGGGTCAATAATAATAAGAGTATTTTTCTCTTCTCAAAGAATTAGAGTATCTTATTTTATCCTGTGTTTAGGATTCAGTTCTTACTTGAATTTCTGAGTATCTTACTTTGTGGTTCCTCTCTGCTGTTCCTTACCACCTTTCTTAGTTAATTTTACTTATTCTAACTTAAGAATTACAGACTCAGTAAAAATTTTACCACATTCCCCTGGGCTTTTCAAGTGTTATTTCTTTTTGTTTACCTCTCTTGGGACTTACTTACACCAAATGATGAGTCATTTGGGAAAATAGCACTAAAGCTCCTTGAGGTCTGGGGAATGTCTTTTATCTCTATTACCATCTGTATTACAGAGTATTTCACAGAGAAAGTGCAATAAATTCTTAAAACATAAAACTCATTGTAGTGGATTTATTTTACTGATGAGGAAGCGAAAGCCAGGAGAGATTTAGCCCAAGCACATGATTAGAAACCAGTTGTTTTGACTCCCAGTCTTATTTTTCCCTGATTGACTGGAAACATGAGGAAAGAATTATTTGCTTAAAAGATTTTATTTCTGGGGTGTCTGGGTGGCTCAGTTAAGAATCCGAGTGTTGGGGCGCCTGGGTGGCTCAGTGGGTTAAGCCTCTGCCTTCAGCTCAGGTCATGGGATCTAGCCCCTCATCGGGCTCTCTGCTCAGCAGGGAGTCTGCTTCCCCCACTGCCTTCTCTGCCTGCCTCTCTGCCTACTTGTGATCTCTGTCAAATAAATAAATAAAGTCTTAAAAACAAAACAAAACAAAACAAAAAAACAAAAAAGAAGAAGCCAAGTCTTGGTTTTTGTTTAGGTCATGATCCTCAGGGTCCTGGGATCAAGCTTTGTGTCATGCTTCACACTTGTAGGGTGGGGGAGTGTCTGATTGAGGGTTCTTTCTCTCCCTCTGTCCCTCCCCCTTCTCATGTGCATGCCCTCTCTCTCTCTCTCAAATCGGGGCACGTGGGTGGCTCAGTCGGTTAAGTGTCTGACTTTAGCTCAGGTATGATCTCATAGTCCCGGGATTGAGCACCATTTGGGACTTCCCACTCAGTGGGGAATCTGCTTGTCCCTCTGCCTTCCACCTGTTCATGTTCTCTCTCTCTTTCTCAAAGAAGTAATAAAATCTTAAACAAAACAAAACAAATCTGATTTTATTTTTAAGCAATCTCTAGACCCAGTGTGGAGATTGAGCTCATAACCCCCAGATCAGGAGTTGCATACTCAACCTACTAAGCCTGGGAGGTGCCCCTGGAAAGAATGTTTTATTGATGTTAATAGGAATCATACCATGTACTTAAATAAAAATAAGATACAATATTTAAAGAACTGGGCTTACATACTAAAACAGCATAGTGATTCAGTGATCTCCTTTGTTAAGGTAAGTTCTCTGTGGCGGATACACAAATTAGCCATAAGAGTTTGTGGCTCATAATCTGTCTAATGCCTTCACCTTTCAGGCGATGAGTATTATGTAAGCCTTTTATTAAAAACCTGCACCTAAGATTTCTGATAGCTATTAATAGAATACTTAATACTTTGAACTCCTTTTGGCTTCAGTTTTGTTAAAATTTAAGTTAAACACTTTCCTGCACAATAATTTGAAGCCAGTAATTCACAGATGAGTGAACACAAAGTAGATGATGGTCATTAGTAACAGAAAAATAAAAATTTAAGAATAATAGGATATAAATTTAAAGCAAAAGATTGGAACAGGTGACATCAAATGTTGAAAAGAATTTGGATCAGCAAGAGCTCTTATGCACTACTAGAGGGAGTATAAATTGAGAGTAATTTGGCATTATTTAGTGCAGACTCCCAATTAGTGCATTGTTGCACATGGTCATCCATGATATGTGACAATAATAGGCTCTTGAAATAGTGATCTCCTCAGAATGGCCAAGCTTGACAAAGGGTAATTAATAACTGTAGAGCTGGTTGCCTCTAGCTAAAAGCAGCCTCAGGTTTATCCCAGTTTGTTATATAATTACCTTTTTTAAAAAGATGTTTATTTCTTTGACAGAGCACAAGCACAAGCAGGGGGTGCAGCAGAGGGAGAGGGAGAGGCAGGCTCCCTACTGAGCAGGGAGCCTGACAGGGGGCAAGGGGTGGCAGGGCTTGATCCCAGAAGCCTGGGATCATGACCCAAGCTGAAGGCAGACACTTAACTGACTGAGCCACCCAAGGCACCTCTAATTATAATTTTATGTGCCATTACACAAGAAGTATTCAGAATAACTAAGTGTATCATTAACCTTTTTAGTAGTAAATATCAGACTGTACAGATGACATAGAAGATAAATTTATTAAAGAGTATCAGATGACTTACACAATCTCTTGAAAAGCCAGAAAAACACACTCTGGGACTGTGCAGTAGGGAAAAATGCCCACAGTACTTTTACTGAATGCTCATATAAGCAGTCACACGACATTGGACAAGCACCACCGTTTTCAGTATGGACACTGCACACAGTATGCATACAGTTAGGACCTTGGTTACTTCTGCCTCTAAAAATTCTTTACTTGGCCAAACACCATCACCCTCATTCACACAGTTCTGCATAGTATCCCTTCATGGTACTCTTGCCCAAATTGAAGTCTTTCATGGTACAGTTGATTGGCAAAACCTGTGTTACATGTCTGCACATAAACTGCAAGGGAAGGTAGAAAGTGAGTTTTTCCTAATACCTACCTTGAAGAGGTTGGGGTTATAATGGAAAAAAGTAACAGCTAGGGAAAAGGTGTTCAAATATTTTGGACAGCCACAAGTATGTTGAGCACTCACAATCCAATACAATTGAAAGATGAGTATGCCCTGTTATATAGCAATTCCATTCCTGATTAAATGCTACAAGGAAAAGCTAAATGCACTAGAGAAGCTCTTATACATCATCTGTGTGATGCACATTCTTTTTTTTTTTTTTTTTTTTTTTAAATTACGTTTATTTATTTGACAGACGGCGAGGGAGAGAACACCAGGAGGGGGAGTGGGAGAAGGAAGAAGCAGGCTTCCCGCTGAGCAGGGAGCTGGATGGATGTGGGGCTTGATCCCAAGACCCTGGGATCATGACCTGAGCCAAAGGCAGATGCTTAGGGACTGAGCCACCCAGGTGCCCTGTGATACATGTTCTTGTACACAATGAATAATTACATGGGTGCATTGCTTGTAATTGTTAAAAGTAGGAAAAAAATGGGTGAAGGGAGCTGGGAGATACAGGCTTTCAGTAAGGGATGAGTAAGTCACAGGAATGCAAGGTACAGTGTAAAGAATATAGTTAATGGTATTTTAATGTTGTGTGTACTCAAAAAATAAAATTAAAAAAAAAATTAGAAAACAACCTAATTCTCATCTGTAGGGGAATGGTGAATAAATTGGGCAGTACTATATATTCATTATCTGGAGTAGTGTATGGTGGTGAAAATAAATGGTCCAGAGATAAATCTGTCAGCATAGACGAATCTCCGTCATAAAATGTTAAGGGGGGGGGGGGACTCACCAAAACCTCTAAAAGGATATGTTGAGTAAATATTTTCCCAAAAGATTACCTCTTAATCTACAAATAAGTTATAATATTTATAGGCTCAGTTAACCATAAACAACACTAATGGATTACTAGGGAATTAGAAAACAATTCAGGCCAGAAGCTTAGTCAATGGCAGATTTGTATTAAAAGTCCTAGAAAGTCTCTGGATCACAAAGGATCTTAATTCTGCTATGTTTATGTATTAGTTTTCTATTGTTGCTTAACAAATTAGTGTAAACTTAAGACATACTGTTTCATTTACTTTCGATCAGGAGTTTGGGCATGGCTTAACTGGGTCCTCTGCTTAGTGTCTCACAGTGCTTCAGTCAAAATGTCAGGTCTGGTTTCTCCTCAGAGGCTTGACTTGGGAGGATTCTGCTTCCAGTTTCCCTCAGGTTGTTGGCAGAATTTATATCCTTGCAGTTTTAGCAAGATGGGTGATACATGCTCCCATAGTCTCATAAACACCGAATCATGTACATCCCATCCCTTTTGCCACTTTTTGTATGTTAGAAATAAAGGTCCTATCTGCACTTAAGGGAGGGGGAGGAGGGAGGAGTACAGAAATATGTAGTATTAAGAGGTGAGGATCATGGGTCACCTTAAAGTCTGTCTCCTTTTTATTTTTATTTCATTTCTGCTTTTCACTCCCATTTTACCCTCTCCTCACACCTCAGAAGTTTAAAAAAAGAATGTAATTTGTGTTTCTTTTTCCTTGTAGTGGGCTTAAAATTGAATTCAGTGGATCCGACAATGAGCATTGATCTTAAATATTTGGGAGTACAGCTACCTTTGGCTCCAGCCACTAGCTTTCCTTTCTGGAACCTTACCGGAACCAATCCTGCCTCTCCTGGTGAGTGTATGGCATTTGTAAAGTCAAAGTTGTGAGATAATTAAAAAACTGCCTTTGTTAGAGACATTTAGGATATTCTAAGGTAGATTTTTTTGCCTAGTGGCATAGTCTTAATGATTTATACATTTTAGATTAAGTTTTTTTGTGATTAAGTTTTGGTAACTAATTAGATATTAAATATTAGTTGACTTGAATTTTGGTAATCTTTTTTACTTTTTCTTTTATAGATGCTGGGTTTCCCTTTGTTTCTAGGACAGGGAAGACCAATGACTTCACCAAAATCAAGGGATGGAGGGGAAAGTTTCATAGTGCTTCTGCATCTAGGAGTGAAGGTAATCAGCTTTTTAAAAAACTGTAAATGTGTTCTGAAACACGTGGCCAAAAAGCCTTTTGTTAAAAGTAAGATTTGGTTGTTTTTCTTCATCTTTTCTTTATATGCTTTAAAATACAGGGCAAATAAATTGCTTGCTAATGTCTGTTCATTTCCTATGTTCCATATCCCTAACCATGTCAGGCTTAAATAATCAATGCACCTCTTTTATTTTATGTTTTATTTTTTAAATTTTTAAAAAATTTTAAATTTTTAATTATTTTTTGTTTTTATTATTATTATTACTATTATTATTTTTTTTATTAACATATAGTATACTATTTGCCCCAGGGATACAGATCTGTGAATCATTAGGCTTACACATTTCACATCACTCACTGTAGCATATACCCTCCCCAACCTGCACCCTCTTTTCAATTGTACTGCCTTTCTGTTACTCCTACAGTTATTTTTAAAATTTTCATTTTTTAGAAAAGCTTGACGGACTGAGCCACCTACAGTTACCATAATCATCATTCTCAAGTATTAATTCAGAACTGTATACTTTAGAGCTATGGAGTGATTCTTGACAGCATTACAGTCCAAGGAAAACTTCTAATCCGAACATTTTGACTGTGTGCCTGTTGGTCTCCTTTCTTAGTGTTTTTCCCGTTGTAGTTACTTGCAGTTTTACATTCTAGCCAGATAAATTTATCATATATCCAAAATAGTTTTTCTCATCTTTGAATCTCTCCACAGTGTTAAAATAATATAATGGCTTGTCTGTCTACTACATTTGCTTTTTCAAAATTCCTTAAAAACTAAATTTTATACTTCTCTTTTTGTGCGCTCACCTCTTTCCTTGTGTTTTATATTAGAGTCCAGGTACTACAGTTTGTTAAATAATCTCTTGGTGTGTTCTGTTGAAGTTTGACTTAAGTATATTTTTTGTTCTTATGTTTTTACTTAAATGTGGTTTCTCTGCTAAGGTCATAAGTTGTCAAAGTTGTAGACTCTTAATTTATTGTTAGTATTTCACCAAAATTAATTTAAATATATGTAATGAGATGGTTTTAGATAATCGTTTTAATGTAATGAATGTATGATTCCATCTCTTCATTTGGTTTATTAATATATTGTTTTTCCTATGTTTAGAAGATTAAGGACAGTTGAGAAGATTGAGTAGCTTATAACTTAATGCTCTTGGCATTTTTTAGTTTATTTTTCTGAAGATCTGCCATATATTTCTTTAAGTATCTGCATCTCTTTATTTCTAGGTGGAAATTCAGAAGGTCCACTGAAAAACCGTTCTGCTTTCTGCAGTGATAAACTAGATGAGTACTTGGAAAATGAAGGCAAACTGATGGAAACCAGTATGGGTTTCTCTTCTAATGCTCCTACATCTCCTGTGGTATACCAGCTTCCCACCAAGAGTACCAGCTATGTACGAACACTTGACAGTGTACTAAAGAAGCAATCTACCATTTCCCCTTCTACCTCCTACTCTTTGAAGTCTCATTCTGTGCCCCCTGCCTCTCGAAAGGCAAAGTCTCAAAACAAACAGGCAACTTTTGGTGGCCGAACTAAATCATCTTATAAATCCATTTTACCCTACCCTATTTCACCAAAGCAGAAACACACTCAAGTGATTCCAGGAGATAAGGTTGCCAAGAATTCTTCAAGTACTATCTCAGAAAATCAGGTGAATAACTTTGTTGTGCCAACTTTAGATGAAAATACATTTCCAAAGCAAATTAGTTTGCGGCAGGCACACCACCAGCAGCAGCAACAGCAACAGGGAACTCGCCCACCAGGCTTGTCTAAATCCCAAGTGAAGCTAATGGACCTGGAAGACTGTGCACTTTGGGAAGGAAAACCAAGGACCTATATCACTGAAGAGCGAGCAGATGTATCCTTAACAACTCTGCTTACTGCTCAAGTAAGTATCTATTGGTTTTTTTAGAAGTGTATTAGTTCATGGTTGGAAAGAATTAGGTTAGTAAGGGGAAATGTGTATGGGCTTTTTGGCGGAAGGATAGGCCATTTAGTTACCTTAGTGATAGGATAAGTAAGGAGATTCTCTTGGTTTCTGTATTTGTTGTTCTTCTTAACTAGACACCTTAGTGTAGAACCCCTCCTGCCAGTAGAGGGAGACAGTACAGTTGTGCTTTTGGATAATGTCTTTCACCTTGTATGAAGTCAGCTGTCCATTCTGAAAATCTCTAATTTCATTCTCTAGCATGTGGGCAAGTATGTTTGCTAATCTTGTTAAAACTGCTTTGAAAGTTCTCCTTAAAAGGTACTACATTTCAGAAAATTTTTTAAAATTATAGACCTGTGGAGAAAAAGCTTTTGTGTTTTATAAAATTTTATATTGAGAATTTTTCACTTATTGATTTACCTGTCTTAACAGCCTCTGGTGCACATGAAATGATACAACAGCATATGACTATTTTTTTTTTTTTTTTTTTTGGGTCGTGAAATTTGTACACCTTACCTTCCATTTTTAAATTATGTGACTGAATTCTAGACCTGAAGATGATCAGATGTTTGGATTAAATACACAATGTGTCCTTTATTATCAATCATTCCTAAAGACTGTTACGTACATATTATCCCATTCCCTTTCTATTAGTTACTGGAAAGCAGGTGTCCGCAAAGTATTTTAGTAAAGGGCCAGGTAGTAAATATTTTAGGCTTTGTAGGCCATACACACTCTGTTGCATTTACCCATCTCTGTTCTTACAGTGCCACAGGCGTTTTGTGTTCCAGTGAAACTTTATGAAACAGGCCAGGTTTGGCCTGTGCGTCTTGTCAACCCCTGCCTTTGAACATTACGTGTGATTTCTTTTTCTTTTTCTTTTTTTTTTAAAGATTTTATTTCTTGATTTGACAGAGAGACCGATGTGGAGCTCTTCCCAGGCATGACCTGAGCCAAAGGCAGATGCTTAAGCACTGAGCTGTCCAGGTGCCCTGAACGTTACATGTGATTTCCATTGAGAATAGATTGATCGCTGTTGATATTCTGGCTCATAGTTAATTTAAATATTCTCTTGACTTGGGGCGCCTGGGTGGCTCAGTGAGTTAAAGCCTCTGCCTTTGGCTCGGGTCATGATCTCGGGGTCCTGAGGTGGAGCCATGCATTGGGCTCTCTGCTGAGCGGGGAGCTTGCTCCCCCCAAACTCCCCGCCTGCCTCTCTGCCTACTTGTGATCTGTCAAACAAATAAATAAAATATTTTTAAAAAATTTCTCTTGACTGTGCTGTGCTTTAGAAAGGCAGATTGTTCAGAGTCCTGGTTATATTTATGTTCTTTAAATATACTGCTAATCTTGTGCTATTGGTACTGAGTGTTCAGAGTCCAAAAAGGCAGACCAGTATATGACTTGTAAGTTGTGGGTGGTGTTGGGGCATGATTCAGTAGATTTACAATTCTTTATTTTAACTTTAGGCATCTCTCAAAACTAAACCCATCCACACAATCATAAGGAAACGAGCCCCTCCATGCAACAATGACTTCTGTCGATTGGGTTGCGTGTGTTCCAGTCTAGCTTTGGAGAAGCGCCAGCCTGCTCACTGCCGCCGACCAGACTGCATGTTTGGCTGCACTTGTTTGAAAAGAAAAGTTGTGCTTGTTAAAGGAGGATCCAAAGCTAAGCATTTCCAGAGGAAAGCTGCTCATCGTGACCCAGTATTTTATGATGCTTTGGGAGAGGAACAACGAGAAGAAGAAGAGGGAGTCAGGGAGGAGGAAGAACAATTTAAAGAGAAAAAGAGGAGGAAGAAGCTAGAATACAGTGAGTATTAACTGAGAATTAAAAGTGTGTATAGTTTTATTTTTTTAGAACAGTTTGGTTATTTCAGATATTACTGTTACTTATTTTAATCCTTTAATCAGTGGTCTAGTAAGAATTTTGAGAAATTCTTATTATCCTTAAATGCTCTTTCTTTGTGGCTTGTGTGATAATGTTTGTGTGTACACACACACACATACACCTTTTTAAAATAGAATTTTTCTTTTGAAGGTGGCTTTTTTGTGCTCCATTGGAATCATTCATTTGGACTTCCAGAATGCCTTTGAAACTTGTTTTTCTGTGTCTCCCTTCTCTTCCTATGTTCTTTGAATACAGAGATGATCAGTATAATCCATCATTCCCCCCTCCAGCTTTTATTGAGGTATAATTGACAAGTACCCTTGCATATGTTTTAAGTGTACAATATGACGATTTGGCACAGGTATGCATTGTGACATGATTAGCACAGTCAAGTCAACTAATCCATCTCATTATTTTCTAAATGAAGAGTTTTGTAACAAGACCCTTTGGTCCTGGTTTGAGCCATTAACCAGGTGATTGGAGTTTTGGTGACAGGATAAGGGCATAACTGAGTTAAGCATTACTGTACTATTTTGAAAAGCTTGTTTTTCCTTTTTTGATAAAATAGTCTGTAGCCCCACCAAATTACATACTAAATCATTCTTGATTCTTTTTCCTTTCTACTGTATCTTTTTATTTTGTTCAAATACATTGAATATATTTTTGCCATACAATTGAAGAGTTTTTTGCTTCTTAGTTTATTAGGAGACTAAATTCCTTTTTTGGCAGTTTATATTTGCATTCACTGTTGATTACCGCATACTTATTTAAGTCATAATAGATGTTTAATATTTCAGTGTATGTTCTTCCAGGATTTTCTGTTAATAGACTTGTGTGCATACATACATGTTTCTGTAGAAATGGAATTGCTCTGTATGTGGTGTCATAACCTTTAGAAATCTGGTATCATAAAGTCATGTTTTGTTTTCTGTATATAGACCATACAATATAGATCTATATTGTAATTTTAGTTTAAATGGCTTCATGTTATTACAGTCCTTTTGGTCAGACATTCAGCCTTTTTATATTTTCTTTATTATAAACAGTACAATGATGATAGGCTATTAAAAGTGGAATTGCTGTGGCAGTGATAGCACTTTGAAGGTTTATAGATGTTTCTGGAGTTGTACCAAGGTACACATTTACCAATAGTTGGATAGTGCTGGATTTTCTACGCTCTTAACTGGATAGTTCACCTGATAGGCAGAAATTGATACTTTGTTTTAAAATTTATAGTTTTTCAAGTAGTAGGTTTATTGACCATTTGTCATAAACTTGCTTCTGTAAATTTGACTTTTTGAATTCTTTGCTTTTATTGGAGCACCTATGTTTTTCCCTGCATTATTTTTTTTTTAAGATTTTATTTATTATTTATTTGACAGAGATCACAAGTAGGCAGAGAGGTAGGCATAGAGAGAGGAGGAAGCAGGCTCCCTGTCGAGCAGAGAGCCGGATGTGGGGCTTGATCCCGGGACCCTGAGATCATGACCTGAGCCAAAGGCAGAGGCTTAACCCACTGAGCCACCCAGGCACCCCTCCCTGCATTACTTTTAAGAATTTAATTATTTATTTGACAGAGAGAGAGAACACAAGCAGGGGGAGTGTCAGGCAGAGGGAGAAGCAGGCTTTCCTCCGCCCCAGAGCAGGGAGCCTGATGTGGGACTCAATCCCAGGACCCTGAGATCATGACCTGAGCCAAAGGCAGCCGCTTAACTGGCTGAGCCACCCAGGCTCCCCGTTCCCTACATTTCCAAGAGCTTCATTTTTCACAGGTTATAATTTTGTAATTTATATTTTAGCTTTGTTAATAGTTCTTCCCTATTCCCTCACTTGCTCTGAAAAAGAAAAAAAGCAGGGGTGGTTAAGTCTAGTGGTCTTTTTAAAAAATTTTTTATGGTTTCTGTGTTTAGAGTGTTGTTTAGAATGTATTTTTTCACCTGCAAGATTTAAAAAAAAATACTAATTAGATTAATAAAGGGCTTAAAATAAATACGATCTAGAATTTATTTGATACGAAATTTGTAGTAGGAAATCTTTTTTCTGCAATATGGCTAGGCAGTTTTCCCATGACTTACTGAGAAGAAGTACTTTCCCTACTGGCTTAAAATGTCACCAGTCATGTAGTAAATTAAAAAATATTTATGTCTGTGTCTGTTTCTGATTTCTGCTATTTTGTGATCAGTGCCAGGCTGTTCTAACTGCCATGCCAGTGTTTAAGATATTGCCTCCATATACCTAAATGATCTTTATATAAATAAGATTAAAAAGGTTTAAAATGAAATAAAATATAGGAGTTTTATCTGTATCTCCTAAGTTTTTCCCCATTTTGCACTTTTAAAGCCGTACTTTTCCATTTCAAAGTAACAAGAATAAGCTCTAGAAGACACTTAAGAATGAAAACTGTGTATCTGTTAGGCTTTATTAGTTTGCTTTCTTGGTTAGTGTATTTACCCTGTGTCTTATTCTTGACCTGAGTTAACTCCAAAAGATAACTCCAGTTATCAAAGTATTTTTTTGTTTTTCTCACTGGTATTAGACCACTATAAAAAAAAAAACAAAAAACATGCCTTACTGTGTTCTAGGAGCCATCAATTTTCCTGTACTGTTAGGGAAGATGAGGAAAGGAGGGAAGATATTTTTGTTACAACTGCTATGGAAAAGGAATAGAAATAGGGAAGAGTTCTTAGAGGCAAAATGTTGCTGAAACCAAAACCAAACAAAAATGTACATAAAAACTGGAAGAAGATGAAGAAATCTTTTAGTCTGTTTTGAAAAAACGTAGGTGAGGGGGGAAAAAAAAGGATGATTTAGAGAAGTTATAGAGGTAAGAAAATGAGAGAGAAAATACTCAAATGATAGAAAAAAATATCTCTAAAGGACATGAAATTTCAGATTTAAAGGATCCTCTGAATAGCAGGCAATAATAACCATCTAGACACGTGTTTCTTACATTTGTAACATCAAGAATAAAGAGGATATCCTGAACTGTTTTAAAGAGAAACCACTTTGCCTAGGAAGGATTTAAAATCAGTTTGATGTTGAAGAGATCATCTTCAGTAATTTACACTGGATTAAAAAAATTAATTTATTTTTCCATCTTGGTTAAGTGTACTCTTTATTTTTATTTATTTTTATTTTTTTTTTTAAAGATTTTATTTATTTATTTGACAGAGATCACAAGTAGGCGGAGAGGCAGGCAGAGAGAGAGGAGGAAGCAGGCTCCCCGCTGAGCAGAGAGCCCGATGTGGGGCTCGATCCCAGGACCCTGGGATCATGACCTGAGCCGAAGGCAGAGGCTTTAACCCACTGAGCCACCCAGGCGCCCCTAAGTGTACTCTTGAATCCCATCCCTATCCCCCCCCCAACTTCTCCTCTGATGACCATCTGTTCTCTATAGTTAAGAGTCTGTTTCTTGTTTTGTCTTTTTTGTTTTCTTTGCTTATTTATTTTGTTTCTTAAATTCTACATATGAGTGAGCTCATATGGTATATGTCTTCCTTTGAATGACTGATGTCACTTAGCATAATACTGTCTGACACCATGTTGTTGCAGATGTCAAGATTTCATTTTTTCTTATGGCTGAATAATATTCCATAGTATATATATATACCACATCTTCTTTATCCATTCATCAGTCAGTGGACACTCGGGCTGTTTCCATAATTTGGCTATTGTAAATAATGTTATTAACCTAGGGGCGGATGAATCCCTTTGATTTAGTGTTTCTCTAGTTTTTGAGTAAGTATCCAGTAGTGTGATTCCTGGATCAGAGGGTAGTTCTGTTTTTAACTTTATGAGGAACCTCCATATTGTTTTTCAGAATGGCTGTACCAGTTTACATTCCTACCAACAGTGCAAGAGGGTTCCTTCCCCCCCCCCACATTATCTCCAACACTTGTTGTTTCTTGTGTTTTTGATTTTAGCCATTCTGACAGGTGTAAGGTGATAACCTCATTGTAGTTTTGATTTGCATTTCCCTGATGATAAATGATATTGTGCATCTTTTCATGTTCTCTTGGGTGTTCCTCTTTATGCAGTGCACTCTATGAGGGTTATATCATTTAAATCTTAAAACCTGTTGTAAGAGGGATTTCCATTTTACAAATGTACTAATGTGTGCTTAGAGAGTTTATGTAACTTGTTCCCCAAAGTCAGCTTGGTTTTAAGGGAGTGATAGAGATTTGAACCCAAGTTTTTCTGACTTGAAAGTCTTCATTTTTTCCCTAGTGTATAAAATAATGATTTTTGAAGTTTGGCCTTCATCTGATTACCATCCATTTACCCTTTTGTTCGTTAAAAAAAAAATGCTGCTGATGTAAAGGCACTGTGCTTAGCTGCTGTGGGAGGGACCAAGAGAAAGGATAAAAACATGACATTCCTGCTTTCTTAGCCCACTTAGAGTTTTGTTGGAGATGTGTCTCTATGTACAAGTTAACTATCTAAAGGGAAGATAATAAAATTGATACCTGATTAGGAAAAAAGGAGAACATACAAATTACCAATATATCAGGAATGAAAAATGGCATTACTAAAGACATTCAAAGGTTAGTAGGGAACAATTTAATGCCAATAAGTCAGATGAAATGGACTAATTCTTTGTTAGATGCAAAGCTACCAAACTCACTCGAGAAGAAATAAGTAACTGCTTACTCCTATACATATGAACTTGCAGTGAAAAACTGCACAGTAATGGCTGTGGTCCAGATGCCTTCACTGGTGAATTCTCAAACATTTAGGGAAGAAATAATGCCCATTTTATTTAAATGCTTCCATAAAATGATCTCATTCTGCGAGACCGGCATTACCCTGATGCTCAGACCAGAAAAAGACATTACAAGAAAATGGTAGAGTACGTTCTCTCATGAACATATGTACAGACGATAGATACAGTTTTAACATACCAAATCCAGGAATATATTTAA